AAATCACCTTATCCGTGACTCTTATGTCAAAGTTCTCTATAGGTCAATTCATGCTTTCAGAGTTATGTAATAATCTTGCAGCCGCAACTAGTCACGTTCGTACATCCCGCTGGGTAGTTCATCCCTGGCGTACCAATTTTCTGTCTCATACCATCTCGAAGAATATGCATGCTAACAGATAGCTGAATCGCCTTGATTCTTAGCAGTGTCTGTGATCGGCCTCCCCGTCGCCTAGCTACGGGCCGGTCAAGAAAAAGTTCCAAATATTTTCAAAAACTTTCAGTTAAAGAACAATAAGATTTCCGCTAGAGAACGAGATTGTTTCATGGACTATGTGCAGCGTATCGTCCCGATCCATAATTCATACTAATTATTTTTTTTTTGATTTTTTTATCAACACGAGATATCGCTTATAAGGAAGCCGTCTTGCAGTTCCAACTCAACTTCCTCAATATATCAAATTCCATAGTGCCACGCTAGAAATTGATGGTTACCAATTGGGACTGGGAGGCGAGCAGCTTCACAGAAAAGCTGAACGACAGTCCCTGGTGGCACAGTGGATCTTACAGGCAAGCTGCAGTCACATTTGTCCGAATAAAAGGAATGCTGCAGCTTGGATCCTGAAAGAATAATGCCCATTCGATGTTCAGATCGGTCCAACTGGATACTTGCGTTATTAATCCTATAAGTGGCACTTCTAGATTTAGCGATCCCACCCTCAATCTGGCCGGAAAACAAAGACCAAACACAGATGCACTCATGTGCCGTGAGAAGCGGGCACAATCTGTATCACGATACAGGCAGAGTTGATAACAATAAGTTCACGAAACAAACACAGCCCCCCCCCCCGCGATCATCAGCGCGCTCCTTCACCCCTTCCTCCCTCCGTCTCGCGATCACTTATTACCATGCGCAGGTCGTTACGTCCAAGTTATCTTTTTTGATACACAGTCCTATTTATTCATTCCCAACAGTAACACGTGACTTGAGTAGTTCATTGGCGAACGTGCTTGAGTGTAATTTCATCACCAGCTTCACTTCAATCCCGTCAAATTGCAAATAGTTAACGTGATTAAATATAGACAATATATTTTGACTTTCTATAAATATTTCTTCGGAAGCAACAATGCGATCGCTACAGTCTAAGACTATCATTCGCCTTTGTAGCGGTAGGCGCCCAGATTCTTCGCATAACACGTAGAGGATCACACTCTGTTCTAAAGTGCACAACATCCATTTACGTCCATTTAGTTATAATTTCTAAAAAACTTATAATCCATATTGGAATCGAGCAATTGTAGCCATAGCAGGAGACTGAAGGCCTGGAGTACCCTTTTCATCTAAATTAGCATGAATTATCATAATTAGCATAAATTCATAAGAAACATTATCACCACAATTCCGGTGATTGCGCAGATTAACTACTTCTACTTTAATTACCCTCATGTAGGTGCACTTTAGTAATAATCTTCCCCTTTGTATTTTAAGCCAAAGCCTCCCCCATAAGTAACAGCTTATTACTCGGGCCATAATGCAAGCGGAGCCTAAAAGCCAAAGTTGCGACTCCTTCTACTTTCTACGCCATATCAGCGCTATGACCTTCCCTTAGAGCGAATATAACTTCATAGTCGTGGACACCATGTCTCTGCCATTTAACGAAGGCATAAAAAACTCTGCACCCCAAATGGGCTATCTTACTATTTCTCCACACAAAACACGTACACATTCACAATCCCAATGGACAGATTTCACAAGCTTTAATAAAGATTACAACCCTCACTCATCAGGCCGTCCCACACATTCCGATAGCCAAGATAGCTGTCTGGCCAGACCTAGGAGGTGCACAACAAACTTATTCTGAGAAAGGATTACCAATTCTTAACAAAGGGTTAGCTTCCACACAAATCCTCAACTATTCTAAGCATTGTCTGACTGGCTGAATCATATTATCGTGAATAACTGAAAAGAACCAATATCACTTGCTAAAGATCTCTTCGGCTATTCCTATTAATCAACAAGAAGCTATTGTTTAATTGAACTTCTTACAGGGATGATCACAGGTATTACTGAACATAAACTTTTTGGCGGGAAATTGATCAGTTTTGGGGCATTTCGTTTCTTTAACGGGGCATGTTAACTCGCTGGGGAAACCGGGCCCGGGGGAACTACTAGTGAAATGAAAATATAGGTAATATCATATCGGAAACGTCTCTCTCCTCTCTCTCTCTCTCTCTCTCTCTCTCTACTCTCTTCTCTCATTCTCGTACTCCTCCCCTCCCCCCTTCATCTTTTCTATCACTACTCCCTTCTCTCACTCTCTCTCTCTCTCTCTCTCTCTCTCTCTCTCTCTCTCTCTCTCTCTCTCTCTCTCTCTCAATCTTTCTCCACTTCCTTTTTTTTAGCCACATCCTTGAATCTGAGCATAGATTCAGATTGCCATTATAGAGTTGTGAGTATAACAATTGGCGATCACGTTCCATCCTGTGAACATGGCCGAGCCAATTCAAGCTTTTCTTATTGCGGATATCAGCCATTGGCGGCAAGTTACCACGTGATAGGATTTCTTCATTTGTGATCTTGTCGTACCACTTGATGCTCATGATGTCTCTGCAAATGGTCAAACCGTTGCACACTTGACTCGACTACTAAATCACCAGAAGCAATGAGCAGTGAAGAAGATTTTAGCAGCTTTTGGGCGTTGATAATGAAAATGAAGTCTGAGTGCAATATTAATCCTCCAGCACTTTCCCAGCAGATAGCTTGTATTGAGATTGAAACTATACAGCCGGTTCTTTTTCAACAATGCAGCACGAAAAGATCTACAAAGAGGCTTCGAATTCAAGGACTCAAGATAGGTCCAGCCAAGAGGTTGCGCAAAAAATATGTCGAGCTCGAAAATCTACTCATCCATCAAGAAGGTGTGCATCCTACAAGGATGATTCTGACATACAATCACTGTAATTACACTTACTACTTTATGCAAAAAGACTGATCACCAATGAAGCAACATCAATGAATGTAATTTGAAAAACTTCAAGAAAACGTTAAAAAGACGAGAATGCTGCGTTCTGAACTCCTTACCAGATTGGCTTTCCTTCTAGTGGTGCCTGCAGCCAAGGCAGTTTCAGAGAGAAGTTGCTCTGGTTTCAAAAGGCTGGAAACGTATCCACCGCTATCCTGGATACAGTAACGGCGCTGCAACTGGGGCAGAGCCTGGTGTCTGGCACCGCAACTGCCTGGGTACCAGGGCCTCATTAACCCGACGATAAAGTATTGTAGATGGCTGCGATAGCTAAGAATGAGTGGATGTAGAAAATGGGAAGGGAAGAGGCTCTGGACTGATCTGATAAGATTCCTTGTCTTGCTAGGTAAACTAAAACGAGATTAGTCATCTTCGAACCTAAGTATCTATTTGCAATCCTCGTTGAAAAAATTTGCTGTGACTAGTTTCTAGCTGTTTTTCTGGGACTAAATAATAGAGACTCTGTTACCGAGGGTGGAAAACCATGGAACATGCAGGAAAAATCACCTAATGACTTCAGATAAAAACAAAGAAAATTAAGGATAATGTAAACTTGATTGCTTTTGCAAATGAACTTGTTCTTTGAACCAAGACTGGGTTCTCTTTGGCAGTCGTTTTGCTATAAAAAGTTTAAGCCATGAGCTGAAAGGGGTCACGAAAGCCAAGCCTAAATATTATCTCTGTACTAAAGATGCTACTTTTAATTTTGGGTTTACTATTGCCTTTTTTAGGCGTATCTCCTTGTCAGATTTTTAGGCGGTAGTAAAGTACACACATTTCCTTATTTGAAAGTCCTTTTAAGAAATTACATTCTTTGCAACTTTTTAGGAAGCATACGACATATTTGCTTTTGTAAGGTCCAGTCCATTCTCGGGTTTGCATATAAATGTCAACCAGTGGCAGCGATAGGGGGGTTCAGCCGGGGCAGTGCCCCGGGGTCCGGGGCCAAAGAGGGCCCGTGCCCAAAATCAATGTTATTTTTTTTACGATAATGCAAAGTTCCAATTAGGCTTTTTCCGTAAGGGCTCGAAAAGGTCTGAAATTAAATATTAAAGTGTTTGCAATTTATTCTGTGATTTTTAGTTTAAAATATCTTTTCGACGATCTGAGCTCAGACTAGTGGGTTCGTTGAAATAACAAGGAATGATGGCTTACTGAATGACGCGGCTGTTCTGTGTATTGAAAGTGATGTTGCTAAAAGTACTGACTTAAGTGATGTTATCGACGCTTCTGCCTTTGAAAATCTCGTAAAATGTTACCATGAAGGCTTTAAAAAATAATGGGTAGCAATTTGTCGTGAAGAGAAGGGGTCAAAAATTGATTAATTTTGAATTGCCACGATACCAGTTTTTTGTCTTAATTTGTAACACCGCATTCATACCTCTTTTGTTTTGATAGAGAACGATCTAGAAAAGATAAACATTTGAACCATGCTACAAAGCAATGAGGGAAAAACAAGGCGTGGTTCTTAAAAAGTTTCGCCTTCTGGTTCTCGCCCAGGCATTCGCTTCGTGGCCCGTCCCGCCTAGCAGTGCCCCTGGGTTATACTCTCGGGCTTCAAGCTTTGACTTTCGACTTTCGATTTTCGACTTTCGACTTTCGACTTTCGACTTTCGACTTTCGACTTTCGACTTTCGACTTTCGACTTTCGACTTTCGACTTTCGACTTTCGACTTTCGACTTTCGACTTTCGACTTTCGACTTTCGACTTTCGACTTTCGCCTTTCGACTTTCGACTTTCGACTTTCGACTTTCGACTTTCGACTTTC